GTATTCTGGCCTGGAGAATTCCATAGACTGTATAGTCCATGAGGTCACAAAGAGTCGGACATGACTGAGTGACCTTCACTCGCTGAGAATGATAGGTGTTAGCTTTTCTCTAAATATTTCATAGATTTTGCCTATAAAGCCATCTGGTCCTGCACTTTTGTGTGTTAGAAAGTTTTAATCATCGCTTCGATTTAAGTACCTGTACTTTGTCAGTTCATATTTCTATTTCTTCCTGGTTCAGTCTTGGGAGTTTACACCTTTCTAAGCATTTGTTAATCCCTTCCAGGTTGTCCATTCTATTGATTTGAAGTAGTCTCTTATGATCCTTTGTTTTTCTTCATGTTGGTTCTAATTTCTCCCCTTTTATTTCTAATTTTATTGATTTGAATCTTTTCCTTTTTCTTTGTGATGAGTCTGGCTAAGGGTTTATCAATTTTGTTTATTTTCTCAAAGAACCAGTTTCATTGATCTTTTCTATTTTTTTAATCTCTATTTTATTTATTCTGCTCTGATCATTATGATTTCTTTCCTTGAACCCAAGTGGACCTTTGTTCTTCTTTCCCTAATTGTGTTAGGGACAAGGTTAGACTGCTTATTTGAATTTTTTTCTTTTCCATTCCTGAGGTAGGATTATATTATCAGAAACATCTGTCTTAGAACTGCTTTTTTAATATGTTCCACAGGTTTTGGGTCATCATGTTTTCATGTCATTTATCTTTAGTTAGTTTTTTTTTTTTTAATTTCCTCTTTGATTTCTTCAGTGATCCATTGGTTGTTTAGTCTTTATGTGTTTGCATTTTTAATAGCATTTTTCCTGTAATTGACTTCCAATCCCATAGCATTGTGGTCAGAAAAAAAAAAAGATATTTGATATGATTTCAATTTTCTTAAGTTTATTGAATCTTAGCATCTGACCAACTAACCCTTGCTATCTGGTGCCAGCATACTGTGTTTTCCCACGTCGAGTATCCTCAGTGTGCAACATTGGGCAGTGGCTGTGATGGCTCATGGCTTGATGGTGGGCATCTAGTTTCCATGCTGAGTTCTCTCAGGGCTCACCTTCTGGGGTTGCTGTAATGTGATAATCTGATGGCTGCAACAGTCTTTATTTACTGATTTGGCAGGCAACAGTTTTCATTCATGTTTCCAAATATCCCCTTACCGCAAACCGTCAACAACTTTATTTTTACATTCATATTCTTTCTTCTGTTTTTCCTCTTCCCCATTCTGAAATAAGAAGCATCACTCTAGGACAAAAGCACTTTTTTTTTTTACCTCAACAAGGAAATATATTTTTATTTCCCATACCCTTTTCTACAAATCACATTCATCCTACTTTCCTTGCACATTGGGATGTTTCAATTACTATATCTAAAAATTTTAACTACATATATTAGACTTAGCATCCTCTGGTTTGGTAAATGTAAATATATTTTGTACACCCTTAGAAACATGTTTTCTCATAGAATGATCTTTTTTTAGTGTTTCACAAAACATGTTTTTTTTTTTTTTCCCCAAAACATGTTAACTAATCATCTCAACTATCTTTTCATCCTTTGTTAAAGAAAGCCAAGAGCAGACACAAATTTATGCTCAATAATACTTGTTTCCATATTTAATCATATTTGAAAATAGTTTTCATATTTAATAAATTTGCATCATTTAAGCAGAACTCTAAGGTTTCAAGCTACTAAAAGAGTTTAGAATTTGTTGTTGTTGTTGCTGTTGTTTTATTTTAGAAAGCATTTTTAGGTAGACATATTTCATACATACTCATCATCTTTAAAATGTTTTTATAAACTTTTGCTCTGTTTTCTTCTATTTAATTTACTTGTCATCAATAATTATGCTTATACTACCCACAAAAAATGTATGGGCCATTAGACAAAGTCAGCCATCACCCCAAATTAGTTTTCTTGCTGACAGATTTGATAACAAAGATTAACTTGACCTCATTTTACTAATAAAACCAAGTAGAATAAAGCTGCATGACTGCATTATACCCAGTGTTGATAACTCAAAAAAAAAGATACATATTTCTTTAATTCAAGCAAAACCCAAGAAAAAACAAAAAACAAGCTAGCTTTTATTTTTGTAAAACATTTGAGTTAATTTTTATTACATCTGTAAGACTTTTACAACTCCTTAATTCATGTAAGTGGTTAACTTTGTTCAAATCAATTTAAAATAACTCTTTAACAAATTAATTTTGGCAATACTATCCAAAGATTAAAATATATCACACACTTACAACACACATAGGTATATACAGACATATGTCAACATACAGAGTGATGTAAAGTGTCCTTATGTTTCAAAATTTAATCTTCATAAAGGAAAGTATATCTGTTTAGATGACTAAGATTTTTATTAAGAGTTTGGGCAGAGGAGCTTGTATCCATGTTCTGGATTTAGGGCTGTTAGTTTTTAAACTGTAATAATAAAATTTTCTACAGTGGCTTCAGAAGGCTTTTTTTTTTTTTTTCTTCCAGGTACTGGTAAATATTTCTGGCAGTTTTGAACAACCAAGAGGGTGAAAAAGGTATTTTATTTTCTTCATCTACTGCAACTAGAGATGAAGATCTGGGAAAGTTGACTTAGTAAAACTTTTCACTGTTATCTAGCTTCTTCCAGTTTCCCAGTATCTCATCTGCATGCTCCAAGTGGAATTTACAATACAGCATGTATTTCTGGTATCCATCATAATTTTGTAAAGTTTTTCATTAATTTTTATTTCCCTTAATTATTTAAGAGTATAACAACAGCTTACCGGAAAATCCTTCAGAGTCTGGTAAACCCTAGGAGTGGCTCATATCTAGCCTTCTTTTGAGAGTAGATATGAAAGGTTTCCCTGACAACTCAGTGGTTAAGAATCTTCCTGCAATACAGAAGACCCAGGTTTGATCCCTGGGTTGGGAAGATCATTTGGAGGAGAACATGGCAACCCACTCCAGTAATTTTGCCTGGAGAATTCCTGGGACAGAGGAGCCTGACTGGATACAGTTCATAGGGTCACAAAGAGTCAGACATGACTGAGCAGCTAAACACAGCACATGAGGTGCTAACTTGGCATACTATTATGGTCTTGTTCCAAAGTACAACTATGGTCACAAGTTCAGGCAGACCAGTTTGTCTTCATCTTATTTTCTGCCTTTTTATCAATTCACTAATTTCAGGAAATTATATACTTACAAAATCTTTGACAATTCTTGCTGGGTTTTGGAAATTTAAAACTATGAGTCTTATTTTCACCTTTGATGAAGGAGTGGATGATAGCTAAAGAAGACTACCTGTAACCTTTTTTAAATGGGCCATGGTGTGTCAGAGTCAACAATGTATTCACATCTGATCCCTGCTATTATTCAACACCTGAAATGGATAAGGAACCTGGAATGGACATCTATGTTCAACTCCACACTTCCTTAAACTATTTCCAGTGATAACTAATGAAAATAATAGATATTACCATCATGTTTCTGGTTTGCATAATGTCATTCCCATTCTATTATAATCCATGCTCCTTCTCCCATACCTAAAATTACCCCAATTCTTTATTCCATAAATATCTATCTGTGTGTGTGCACTCAGTTGTATCCAACTCTTTACGACCCCATGGACTTAAGCCTGCCAAGCTCCTTTGTTCATGAAATTTTCCAGGCAAGAATACTGGAGCAGGATACCATTTTCTCTAGCCCCTCCATTTTGGGGAGGTAAATATGAAACATTTTCTTCCCTTCTCTCCCTTGGCTGCCTTGTGGATGAACTCTTTGTTTTCTATAGACATATTAGTTTCAGCATTTGACTGTCTGAGTGTCATGCAAATGATCCTGGATCAGTAAAAACATCTTGAAATACTTAGCAATTTTACTGCTGAGGATTCCTTTGAGCAAAGGAGCTATAGATGGGGTGGTAGAATTATCATGCAGTTTTGATTCAGAAGCAGAGCTTGTACATGTGGACTCAGACAGCATGCATATGGAGTCACCGGCCTGGTCTCATGTTTACATATACATCTGTGTTCAGTACCTCAGGGGAGTGACTGGGTTGTATTTAGGACTTGAACCAGTGGTGGTGTTGATGACAATGGCAGCTGCAGACACAACAACAATGGTTGAAGTTTTCACCACCTAGGAGAGAGGAGTTTTGCCTGGAATGAGCAATGATCTATGGTGGGAGTAGAGACAGATTACTGTTCACTTGAGCTGATAGATTTTTATTGGATATAGTGATTGGGACCTATTTAGGAAAGAAGCTAAGCTATAGAATAAATTGCTAAAATTGGTTGATAAAAGTTGACTTCTGCCAACACATTTTTTTCAGTAGAAATATGGGATATAGTAAATGGAGACTAAAGTCTCATCTGAGAGGTATTATCTAATGAAAGAAATAGTGGCCACATAGGAAGTAAACTGTGTATGTCCCAAATGTGAGGGATAGCTGCCGGAATGTCCTTAATGTTTCTAATTTCCACTAATTAAACTACATCTTGACTCACTTATCTTATAAATAACTTCACAATTTACTTGATCTCTGTTGGCATCTCCAGGTTCTGTTGTTGATCCTCAGATATAGCTGATATTAAGTTACATCCCTAGAATTCAGAGTGGTATAATAACTTGTTGTTGGTTGTGAAGTCACTCAGTCGTGTCCGACTCTTTGCGACCCCGTGGACTGTAGTCCACCAGGCTTCTCCATCCATGGGATTTTCCAGGCAAGAATACTGGACTGGGTTGCTAGTTCCTTCTCCAGGGGATCTTCCCAACCCAGGGATCGAACCCAGGTCTCCCTCATTGCAGGCAGACACTTTAACCTCTGAGCCACCAGGGAATCCCTTATTCAGAGTGCTATAAAAACTTGAAGTCTCAGCTAAAGCTGCTTCAGTCGTGTCCAACTCTGTGTAACCCCATATACTGTAGCCTACCAGGCTCCTCTGTCTATGGGGTTCTCCAGACAAGAATACTGGAGTGGGTTGCCAAAGTTTATACCTAAGATGTTGGTACTCATGCCACAATATTTGTTGACAATTTCACAGAGCAGAATCTATGAATTAGTCTTCTCAGTGCTCCAATCACCTCTTTGTTTCTCAAGCTATAGATAACTGGGTTGAGCATTGGGGTCAAGATGGTGTAGAAGACAGCCAGAGCCTTGTCCTCGGTTGGAGTACGAAAGGATCTTGGGCGGAGATAAGTGTAAGCAAAGGGCATATAGTAGAAAGTCACCACAGTAAGGTGGGTGCTGCAGGTCGAATAAGCTTTCTTCCTCCCTTTGGTTGAGTGCATGTAATAAACGGCAAAGAGAACACGACCATAGGAACATGCAATACCAATGAAAGGCAATAAAAGGAAGAAGATGGTACTCATAAACACGGTATACTCATAGATCCTGGTGTCCATGCAGGCCAGAGTCAACATGGCTGGAACATCACAGAAGAAATGATTGATGGCCCTGGATTTGCAATAAGGGATACGAAAGGCATATGTGGTATGGGCACAGGAATTAATAGAGCCCATTACCCAAGATCCTATTATCATCAACATACAGACCTTTCTGCTGATTTTTATGGGATAGTGAAGAGGGAAGCAAATGGCTACATAACGATCATAAGCCATAAACGTCAAGAGCAATGTTTCTGCACCTCCTAAAGTCAAGAAGAAAAAGCTCTGAATCCCACATCCAATGAAGGAGATAGACTTGTCTGCAAAGAGAAAATTGTAGGCCATTTTGGGAACAATGGTAGAGATGTAATTTAGGTCAATGAAGGAGAGCTGACTAAGAAGGAAATACATGGGTATGTGAAGATGGGTGTCCAGAAAGATGAGAAGGATCATAAAGAGGTTGCCAAACAGAGCAATTAGGAAAATGAGAAAAATAAGAATGAAAAGAAATATGCCAAATCTTGATGAGGGGAACAACCCCAATAAAATGAAATCATTTGATGTTTGATTATAGTTTTCCATTGGTAATTCATATTATTTTTCCTAAAGGGAGACAAAAAAGCAAATGAGTAAAGCTTAAAACTATAAGATATTTTTGTTATTATTTTAATCAGACTCTGTATTACTTAAAATGTTACAGTTCTTAAAAATGAACTGATTTTATTAATTTTACAAAAACAAAACCTTAGTATTTTGAGCCAGAATTAAAATTTGAAAATGCAAACATTTTTGGCCAAAGTGTTTTCCAAATGTTCCAGAGTGTTTTCTATTAAGTAATCTACAAAAATATATATTACAACATCATTAGGATAAATATGTTTGACTGACCTACACAAACTAAACTAATATTAAAAATGATGTCATTTTTAAGTATATGCATAGGAAATTAATGCAAGTGCTTGCACTATAGAATTCCATTATTAGTAAATATTTATGACAAGGAATTTTTTTTTCACATGTAAGTCAGGTAGCATTAGCTAAATTATCTTTTGTGAAATCTAGAATGAATCCATATGTCATGTAACATACAAAGGATCATTTCTTCTGCTTTCTTAGAAGAAATGTGTTTCTGAATGCTGTGGTTAATGTACTAACAAAATCTATGCCTGAAAATCTATGTATCACACTCCTTATAGCTTTCAAGAGTTTGCTGAAACTCTCCCAAATGACATGTTTTATGACTTTTATGTGTTAGAGAAACAGTGTTCAATTTCACTTTGACTTACTCTTTCAATTTTTACTTTTTATTTTCCTATATCTAAAACTTTCCAATTGTAGATTAGTATACAAACTTAATCACATATATTTACAATATCTCCCTATTAAATCCCAATTAACATGATAAAAACATATAGGTTATAAATTAAAAGAAAGCAGATGATTGCAAGGCACAATAAGAGATGAAATAATTTAGGACCATTGAAGGGATTGCACAGAGTAATGCTCAGTCACTTAAATGGAAAAAAAAGAAAAAGGAATCTTTTCGTGGAGATGGAAAAAAGAATTCTCCAGAAACATCGTAAGTGGAAAATTTTCAAGATCATGTAATGATCTAGTGGTGACTTCCCTGGTGGTTCAGACAGTAAAAGCACCTGCCTACAATGCAGGAGGTCCAGGTTTGATTCCTGGGTCCAGAAGATTCCCCTGGAGAAAGAAATGGTGACCCACACCAGTACTCTTGCCTGGAAAATCCCATGGACAGAGAAGCCCGGTAGGCTACAATCCATGGGGTCACAAAAAGTCAGATACAACTGAGTGACTTCACTTTCTTCCTTCCTAGACATAAAATAATTTAAGAGCCAAATGTTACCAGATTTTATGGAAGTTTTTATATGAAAGATGAAGAGACATACAACTGCACATACACATACACAAATAGAGATGCATATTCACACTCACATAAACAATAAGCTGTTGTTGTTAGTTGAAAACCATGTCTGACACTTTGCGACCCCATGAACTGTAGCCCACCAGGTTCGTCTCTGTCCATGTGATTTCCCAGGCAAGAATACTGGAGTGGGTTGCCATTTCCTTCTCCAGGGGATCTTCCCCACCAAGTAATGGAACTTATCACTGATCCACCAGGGAAGGCCCATTAGCAATATACAATGAGGTAAAACGGTTGGAAAAATGTAGAAGTGAACATGTTTTCTTTTAAAAAGGGCTTGCATCTCAATTGTATGACACATTTTCATTCCACTACAAAAATCTCATTAGATATGTAAAAGAAAGTGTCTGGTAATAAAGTATCTTGTAAATTGTAATATAATAATTGACAAAAGATTTAATAAAATGTTATAGACAAAATGAAAATAATTTAAAAAAAGAATTAAAAGAAAAAACTGCAAGAAAATTACATTAATACTATCACTTGAATTGACGGAAAGCTAAAAGAATTAATATAAGGGAAGAAATGCATGCTTATTGGAATACATAGAATTATATATAGCAAAATAATAATATAGCTAATAATACCAAAAAACCTGTTTTAATCAGAATTGATACATATGCAGCACAATATTAAAAAAGTATAAACATAATACTTAAAAATAAATGTGAACTTTTTTATTGGGATTGCTTCCATGAAAATTCTAAATGTCTTTTGAAAATATTTTTGGACAATTTTCAATATTTCTATAAATGTGTGGTCCAAAAGTGCCTCTATTCAATACTCTGTAAAGAACTATATGGGAAAATAGTCTAAAAAAGAATGGATATTAAACTCAATATTCAAAAAGCTAAGATCATGGCATCCTGTATAACACTTCATGGCAAACAGATGGGAAAAAAATGGAAATAGTGACAAACTTTATTTTCTTGGAATCCAAAATCACTGTGGATGGTGATTGCAGCCATGAAATTAAAGGAAATTGCTCCTTGGAAGAAAGGCTATGACAAACTTAGACACATATTAAAAAGCAGATACATCACTTTGTCAACAAAGGTCCATACAGTCAAAGCTATAGTTTTCCCAGTAGTTATGTACTGACATGAGTATTGGACCATAAAAAAGGCTGAATGTGGAAGAATTTGTTCTTTTGAACTGTGGTACTGGAAAAATTGACCCTGCTTATTCATTGGAGGGACAGATGCTGAAGTTAAAGCTACAATACGTTGGCCATCTGATGCAAAGAACCAATTCACTGGCAAAGACCCTACTGCTGGGCAAGATTGAGGGCAGGAGGAGAAGGGGACAACAAAGGATGAGGTGGTTTGATGGCATCATTGACTCAGTGGAATAAATTTGAGCAAATTCTGGAAGATAGTGAAGGACAGGGATGCTGCATGCTACAGGCCTTCACAAAGAGTCAGACACAGCTCAGCTAATGAACAAAAACTATGTATATGTATAGCTGATTTACCATGCTGTACAGTAGAAATACAATATTGTAAATCAATTATACTCTAATAAAAATTTTTAAAAATAAAATTTAGAAAAGTGTCTTACAACATTGTATTGGTTAAATTATTTAAAAAAATAAAAAAAAGTCTTAAAGAAAATACTACTAATAAGAAAAACTATTTTATAGTAATACCAACTAATATATTCTTAGGTTTTAAAATAGTGTGTATTTTTTATATTTTAACATATACTATATGATGGTGAAATAGTCAACCTTGCCTTCCCAGACACAAAGTGGGATGTAACTATGCTGAAAGGATGTGAAAATAGAAAAATCATTGAAGGTTGTTGTATATGGAGGAGGGAAGGTCTCCATCCACAATGTTCACAGCAAAGAACCAAGAGATAGTATTTAATATTAATAATTAAGCACTAGAAGATAAGCATATTGGTGGAAAAAATATGAATGATAAGGGAAAAGTATCAAAACAAGTATTTTCCTTAGACATCAGGATTGGGTCATGTAACCATATTTTGTCCTGCAGACACTTAAGATCATGTTCTTGCTTTACTTGAATTATATATTCACTTGATAGAAAATTGATGGCATGATTAAAATTGAACATACAACTAAGAATGTATTCAATGGTGAAAGACGAAAAGCTTTTCCTTTAAGAAGATAAAGGGCAAAGATGTCCACTTTGACATTTCCAATTTACAGAGCATTACATAGGTTTGTTTGTGTAAAACTGTAAAAAGTTCACCAAAAAATCTGTTAGAACTAATGAAGAAATTCCACATGGTTGCAGGATATATTTCTATACACTAAATAATATACAATACTAAGAGACATTCAAGAAAACAACTATATTTGCAGAATTTGAAAAAAGAATAAAAGTCCTAGGAATAGATTTAACAAAAGAGGTAAAAAAAATGTGTTCATTGAAAATCACCAAAAGTGGCAAAAGAAACTGAAAAGACAAATAAAATGAAAAGCATTCTATTCTTATGTGTTGGGAAACTGAATATAGTTAAGATGACAATACTACTACAAGCAAACTATAGAAGAAATGAAATGTCTATCATAACTCAAATGATAGTTTTTAGGTAGAAATATAAAAATACATCCTAAAATTTTAATGAACTCTCAAGGACTTAGGATAATGAAAAAAAATCTTACAAAAGAATCAAAGAACACAATGTATCTAATTCAAAACCTATTGCAAAGCTACAGTAATAAAAACAGTGTAGTACTACCATAAAGACAGACGTAAACCAACAAAACAATATAGAAATATCAGGAAAAATATCACCTCACATTATGTTGTCAGTGAATTTTACAAGGGGCTCACAGCCGTTACATTGGGTTGCCATTCCATCAATTATTGCTGGGAACATGGAATATTAATATGCAAGCAATAAATTTGGGTCTTTGCCTTACACCATTGGTAAGAATTAACTAAGAGCTAAATATAGAACTAAAAGTATAAACTCTTAGATGAAACCATATAGGAAAAGTTTCATGCCATTGAATCCATCTGTGCTTTCTTAGACATAACAATAAAAACGTGTGCAAGAATAACAATATTAGATAAATTGGACATTATTTTAAAAAAACAAAAACCTTTAGAGCATTGAAAAATGGAGGGAATAATCAACTTGCCAAATGGAAAAAAAATATTTTCAAAACATGTATCGGGTAATACATTTATATAAGAAATATATGAAGGACTATACAAATTAAATGACAACAGAAAAACATTTAAAATTGGGGAAGCATTGAATAAATATTTATTTGTAAATATTTATACAAATGGCCAATAAACACAGAAAAATATCCTCCACATCACTAGTTATTAGGGAAATTCAAGTCAAAACTACAATGAGATACCACATCTTACCCTTAAGTAATAGCTTCTATTTTTAAAAAAAATGAAAAGAAATAAACAAGTATTGAGAAGGCTGTGAAGGAACTAGAACACTGCAATCAATCCTGGTGAGAATGCAAAATGGTATAATGACTGTAGAAAATCACATCATAATTTTTCGACATAGTAAATAGAGAATTACCACTTGATCCAGTAATTGCACTTCTGAGTATAACTCAGAATAACTGAAAGCAAAGTATAGAACAATTATTTGTACACCCTTGTGTTTAAAAGCTTGTTCTGAAAAGCTA